AGTGACGGCCGGCGTTCGCGGCGGGTTATGGTTTGGGATCTCGTCCCAGCGCGGTGCAGCACGTGCAGAGGTTGGTGACAAACTCCTCGGGGCGCCTCGAGCGCTCCAGGAGCACCGGTGCGGACAAACCGGGAGACGCCGCACTCCTCACTGCAGGGATCAAGAGCCATTTGGGCTCCAGCTCCTAAAACCCTCCTTGTTCCTGGTCTTCCTGCCCCCTTCTTGCCCAGCACCGTGTCACGTGCGGGGCTACCAGGCTCCCCTGTCCGCTGGTCCTGGCAGGGTGGCCGCTGGTCCCTGCTTCCTACGGCCGCGGAGGCGCCTCATGGAGATCGGTGCCTTTCCCGGGCCACCAGCTCCTCCTGCTGTCCCTTTGCTCAAAGGACAGGCCCGACCCAAGGGAACGAACCCCGACTGCTCCTGGCAGTGGGAATTCTGGTCTTGTAGCCACCAACGGTGGCCAGGGCCGGGCTCACAGCGCCCGGGGCCACGCGCCGCGGTGCCGCGCGCCCTCCGTGGCCGCGCCGGGCCGAGGAGGCCTCCGCTTCACCCAGGACACACGGGTGATTTCTGCTTTCTTGCACCACCCACAAGATCCGCAGCATTAAGAGGCAGAGCTTCTGGAAAATGAAGATTAACTCTGCAACGTGTTGCGCTCTCTTGCCCTCATTTTCTGCTATCAGTAAAGCACTGCTGAACGCTGCACTTCCCGCACTCCGGCATTCCCAGGTGGACAGTTTCATGGATGAGCCGGGATGCCACCACTCCAAGATCCCACTCACCACTTGGTGCAGCTGCTCAGGTCCAGCCCAGCCTGAGCCTTGGTGCAGCGGATGGCCGTGCGAACAAGGACCATGGGACCACCCTCCGGCCCGTCCAGCGACGGGGACCATTCGCCGCCGATGAGCACCGTCTCGTCCTCCTTCTTTCCCAGCAGGAACTAGGGGGATACAGGCCGTGAGCCCGGTCCCAGCACAGCATCCCGACCGTCAAAGTCCCCTTTCTTCCTCAGGGAACAAGGTCCCCGGGACAGATGCCACCCCAGAGCCGCTCCAGCAATAAATGTGGATCGTAGCACACAGCCAAACCTCCTCGCCCGACAGCTTTCTCCCAAAACAACGGGTTGACCGCAGGAGCTGCGCACACAGCACGCACTGTCAGCCCCGTTCTCGCCGACCTCACCTTGATTTGTTTTGTGGGGTGCTCGGGAGCCTCCCTCTGCTCGCTGGAATCGTCGATGTAGGACAAGCAGGCGCGGTAAAACTCCTCGAGGCCCGGGGAGGAGAGCAGCAGCACCTGCGGGCAGAGCAGCCCGCTCAGACAGGCACGGGCAGCACCTCGTCCAGCGATTTGGGGACATCCAGGTGACAGGGAGGACACCAGGCATCTCCATGGCGTCGCAGAAGGGGCTGCGGACGGGGAAACGGGACGTCGAAACACACAAACAACCTCAAAAACGCTCTCCGAGCGTCTCTTCCACTTCTGGGAGCCCGGACACGGGATCTCTGCCTGCTGATTCACTCTCAACCTTTCGGTGTCCCTCTCCAGGCAGGGACACAGGGTAAGCCACCCGTTCCACAGCGCCCGGTGCCGCTAGGGACACGCTCACCTGTCCACGGCGTAGTGGGCAAAGTGCACCCGATACTGGGGCAGCTCATGGCGAGGCTTCTTCACGGCCCAGGGCTCGGCACCCTTCTGTTTCCGCTTCTTCGAGTCGAAGTCGTCCCTGGGAGCAGCACGAATACGAGCTCACGAGCTCCCCAAAATAGCAAAAGGCCAGGGAGCAGCCCCCCGTCCAAAGGCCCCAGGTAAAAGTGGGAAAACCAGGACAATCCTGGGGTTGGCACCCCACGAACACGCCGTTCCTTACCACCTGCCGGGGTCGTTCCAGCCCTTCGGTCCTCGGCCCGGGTATCTCCCTGGGTGTCCCAGGGGAAGGGACGGGGGCGCTGAGAAGACGTTCACTGCTGGGGAGACAAGGAGGGTAAGACCAGGCCTCGGAACGCAGACACCCCCGGAGACCCCTGCCCACCGCCTCCTCTGGGGTGATTTCTCGGAGAAATGGCACTATTCTCACCCCGAGGATTAGCAGCAGCCTCGGGCCCCCCGCGTTAACGCAGACACTCACGTTTCTGAGGGAAGAGCCGCGGGACGCGGGGAGGCTGGAAGAGCAGCTGGGGCTGCGCCCCGAGGATCCCCTGCTTCTGCCCCAGCGAGGCCACGTGCAGCAGCGGCGCTTTCAGGAGGCTGCGGGACGCGGACACGGCGAGATGAAGGAAAACAGCAGCCGGGACAGCCCCGGATGCAGACGCCAGAGCGGGAAGGACAAGGGGACACAAGCGGGACGGCGTCCCGGGGGTCGCTACCTGGTTGGGGAGCGTCTGCACCTTGAGCGCGTTCCAGGGCACGGCCTGGCTGGGGTTGTAGGCCGCCTTCACCAGCACCTTCTCGCC